GATGGGTTTGCTGGAGGGCGGGAGGGAGGGGAGAGTGGTGCGGAGAGGATTTTGGGTTGTACAGGAGAGATGATTGTGGAGAGTGGTGTGAGTGGAGAGTTTGGGAGGGTACGTATGAGGGGGAAGTTGGGTTTACCTTAAGGAGGCAGTTTGAGCGGAGGGAGTGAGTGATGGGACATGTGGGGTTTCTGCTCTGGGACAGCCAGTGCCAGGAGCCACGATTGGCCCAGCGGAGGATGCCCAGGCTGGAGCAGAGGGAAGTGGTGACGGGGTCGAGGAGAGAGAGAAGGCGGGGAGGGCGGTGGGAGAGAAGGATAGAGGGGGAGAGCGGATAGAGGGGGGTGGGAGGACAGACATAGAGGGGGGTGGGAGGAGAGATAATTAGAGTGGAGAGGGAGAGGGAGGCTCGGGTCGGGGCAGCAGCCAAAACGCGCACGCAGAGACCGGGAGCGAGCGATCAGCGGGACGGCATCAGCCCTCAGGTTCAGCCTCCCAGGCCATGGCCGGGATGGCAGTGGTAGGGGCCAGGCCGTTGTTGTTGTTGCTGGTTATTTTTAACTGTGACGTCACGCCGACGTCACTTTGTGAATGGCGGCCCCTCCCCTCCCCTCACCTACCTCGCTCTCCTGCCTCCGCTCCCGTCTGAGTGGCTCCTCACCTGGCTGTGCTTTATACACGCAGCTCGGCCTCAGCTCTGCCCCTCGGTCTCCTGCCTCCGCTCCCGTATTATTAGGCGTGTGGAGTAAGGAAACTTGCCCAAGGTTTCGCCCTGCCTGGAATTGAACCCAGGTGTCTCGCTTGCAAGGCGAGTGCTCTCACCACTGAGCTGTAGGACTCCACATTTGTGTAGCTTTGCACTACTGGCTGGCTAGCGGGAGGAGCTATGGGAGCCGAGGAGGGGAAAGATGAACCAATGTACGGTCACAGAGTTGAGTCTTCAGGTGGGCTTTGAAAGTGGAGAGGGAAGCTGTGAGTCAGAGAGTCTCTGGGAAGGAATTCCAGAGAGCAGGACAGATTAGCTTAAAAACTCCCCTGCTGACAGTGGGTCAGACAGGGCAAGGGAAGCAAACATTAAAAACATACTAAAAATCCTCAGCAGGTCAATCAGCATCTCAGAATAAGAAGTTTAACTTCCAAGGCACACCTTTCATTAGAATGCAGCTGTAATTACTTTTGTTTATGGTGAGAACTCTGTGCTCCAACTCGTAGCTGAAGCATCAATCATTCACGTGGGTGGAGCAAGAATAAGCTTGTTTTGTTTTGCTGGAGACCATGATTGGGGCTGCCCAGCTCTTAACTGATACCAAGTCATAAAATGCGTAGGAAAGTGAATGAAATTAAGTTTGAATGTGTCTGTTGTTCATTACAGAATCATAGAATTATACAGCACAGAAGGAAGCCATTCGGCCCATCGAGGTTTGTGCCAGCACTTTGAAAAGAGCTATCCAAATCGATCCCACTCCCCCGCGCTCTCCCCATAGCCCTGCAAACTTGTCCTCAAATAATTATCCACTTTTCTCTTAAAAGTTGTTTTCGAATCGGCTTCCACCATCCTTTCAGGCACCCTTTCAGTTGTTTCATGAAGAGCTTTGCATTGGACACTGCCATGATGGATGCTGCTAACTTCAGTGACGTTACACTTGGGTTCTGCTTAAGTATTTAAGTTAAATAAATGAACTTGCATAAGTAAGAATAGACCAATCTGAAAATCACATTGTTGATGTTGACAATCACAAAGGAACACCCAACCCTAGGAGGTATTCAACTGGCAATCAAATTCAGACATGAAGTATGTGTCCTTGACATCTTAATATTTGTAGATATTAGATCATCTCCAATGTGGACTGCTTGAATTGTTTTCGGTAGATGTAATCTTGATGTTTTCCTTTTTCAGTGGAGGATTGTTGGGACTTTTGTGCGAGTTGAAATCTTTCCATACATTTTTTAAGAGGAATACATTTTGGCATTAAGGAAAGAGGAGAGAGAGTCACAGGCTCGGGGTGGAAGGAATACTGAGCAAGATGGGGATGCGGGCAAGAATGACTGAAGCATAATATTGGCAAAAGGGTGTGGGGTACATCAGACTGAACACAATTGATTATGAAGGCAAGAGTGAATGAGGTTTTGTCAAAGGGTGTGAGGTGCGAGAAAAATAGCTGAAGTGGGTGAAAAAGGGGGCTCAAAAATAGGATCTCGAGGGAAATAGCCAAAGGCACATACTGCAATGTTCCCTGACCTCAGCCTGATCTGCATTTTTTTTCTTTTACAAAGTGGCCACCCTATAGTTGAGGGGAAAAGATTACAGGGTGTGGTAAGATTACCTGCTGAAAATTGCAGCATAGGGTGTGAGTCAAGTCTGGTGTTTTTTTCCCTCCAGTACCTTAAGGCAAATCCTCAATTCTCTCCCTTTTCACCATCTATATGTTCCCCTTTGTTGACATCCTCAGTTGGCACGGTGTCCATTTCCACATGTATGTGGATGACACCCAAATCTATTTCTCTGTCTCCATTTTAATTCTTATCCTTAAGAATGTTTGTGGGACAACGCAATGTGCGATTGGCTGCCACGTTGCGCCTATACAATCAATTCACTTTGCAGTGTGTTCTGCGAAGTGCTTTAAGACATCTCAAAGATGTGATAAGGCACTGTATCAAAAGCAAGTATTATTATTATATTAATTCCAAGATCAATGCTGTTCTGACTAATTGTCAAGCATCAGACATTAGAGTATTCATCTCGCAAGTGAGAGGTTCGATTCCCAAGCAGGGGGAAATCTTAGGCAAGTTTCCTTACTCCACACGCCATCCCGGAGTCCTGTAGCTCAGTGGTTGAGCACTCGCTTTGCAAGAGAGAGACCTGAGTTCAATTCCAGGCAGAGGGCGAAACCTTGGGCAAGTTTCCTTACTCCACACGCCTAATAATAATCCCTCCAAAAACCAAAAAACAATAATAAATTGGTCATTTTCAATCCACGACTGTTTGTGGGACATTGCTGTGCGCAATTGGCTGCCGCGTTCGCCCACAAAATATACAGTCAATTCACTTTACAGTGTCTTCTGTGAAGCGCTTTGGGACGTCCTCCTGACGTGAAAAGCGCTATATCAAATGCAAGGATTATTATTATTATTATTATTATTATCCCTCCTGACGTGCAAGATGCCAGTAGACGTTTCTTGGCCAACATTCACCGAGATGATTGATCATTCACCACATGGGTGACACGTTTGCCCACAAACACTTAAGACAGACACCTCATTCTACAGTAAACCCTGTGAAGGACTTTGCAACGATGTGATCAGGAGCTCTACGATCAAATGCAAGGATTATTATCGTGCAAATCTGACTTGTAATTGTGTGAAAAAAAAATCTCAACTTGCAGAAGGGTTCAGGGGTCCAACGGGGGTGGTGTTGCAGTTCGAGTAGGAACCACCAGGGGCGCTTTTGGAAGCTGACACTCACTGTAACGTGACTCATTGTAACGTGGTAACTGTGGAAGACAGAAGTCATTGGTCCGGACTGGACTGGACTGGAAGCGACCGAGTGTGTGCAATCGAAGGCTTGGAATTGTTTTTTTTGGGGGAGAAAAAAATCCCATTTTCCACATGCACACGTTTCCCCAGAAGCGTCAGTTTACCACCAGCAAAGCTACAGAGGTAAACACGGGGATGGGAACCCGATCAGAGAGAGAGAGGGGGGAAAAAAAAAACCCCAACGTTAATCCCTGGGAAGGAAATCGTTATGGATTAAAGCTGTGCACTTGCACGTTGCACTTCGGTGTTTTAATGGTGCAAACAACGTGCAGCTCAGTTTGTCTCTTAAACCTGATGGGCAATGCGGGGAGGGAGAGGGAGGGCAGGAGGAGGGGGAGGGCAGGAGGAGGGGAGGGAGGGAGGGCAGGAGGAGGGGGAGGAGGTTGTGTGGCTTCCAGCTGTTGCCTGTATTTCGCCTTTGCATCGCACACATCGCTTGTAATACTCTCTTCCCTCTTTATTTCCTGGGTCACATCAACCATCCTCTCTCTCTCTCTCTCCTCTCTCTCTCTGGACGTGTTTTGCTGAGGGGAGGGGGGAGGGCGCTGTGGCAACGTCTTACGTTTTCTTCCTGGGAAATGGGGATAGGCTGAGCAGCTCATCCCTCCCTCCCTCCCCTCCTCTCTGTCTCCCCTCCTCCACCCATCTCTCTCCCCCCCCACCCCATCCCCTCCTCTCTGTCTCCCCTCCTCCACCCATCTCTCTCCCCCCCCCCACCCCATCCCCTCCTCTCTGTCTCCCCTCCTCCACCCATCTCTCTCCCCCCCCACCCCATCCCCTCCTCTCTGTCTCCCCTCCTCCACCCATCTCCCCCCCCCCACCCCATCCCCTCCTCTCTGTCTCCCCTCCTCCACCCATCTCTCTCCCCCCCCCACCCCATCCCCTCCTCTCTGTCTCCCCTCCTCCACCCATCTCTCTCCCCCCCCACCCCATCCCCTCCTCTCTGTCTCCCCTCCTCCACCCATCTCCCCCCCCCCACCCCATCCCCTCCTCTCTGTCTCCCCTCCTCCACCCATCTCCCCCCCCCACCCCATCCCCTCCTCTCTGTCTCCCCTCCTCCACCCATCTCCCCCCCCCCCCCACCCCATCCCCTCCTCTCTGTCTCCCCTCCTCCACCCATCTCTCTCCCCCCCCCACCCCATCCCCTCCTCTCTGCCTCCCTCCCTCCCTCCCTCCCTCCTGCACAGATTTTTTTTAAAAAAAGGGGATGGTGTTAGTTTTGCAACCTTCCTCTGCTTTGCAGTCTCTCTCTCTCTCCTCCCCCCCCCCCCCCCCAAAGGTTGTTTGCAATCAGTGTGGGTGGGTCGGTGCTGAAGAGATCATTGCAGTCAGAGTCTCTCAGTGTGAGTGGAGCTCAGTGAAGTTGGGAAAATCCTCGTTACACTGTGTGAGCAGTGGGTGGAGACAGACAGACACACACACACACACAGAGGGAGAGAGCAAGTCGGCCATTAATATCTTTGCAGATCAGATACATGTGTATATATATTAGAGAGTGAAGAGTCCTTTTAAGTCCTCTCCTCACACACACACACACAGACAGACACACAGACAGACAGACACACACACAGACAGACACACAGACAGACACACACACACAGACAGACACACAGACAGACAGACACACACACAGACAGACAGACAGACACACACACAGACAGACACACACACAGACAGACACACACACACACACACAGACACACACACACAGACAGACAGAGACACACAGAGACAGACACACACACAGACAGACAGACACAGACAGACAGACACACACACCGGGACACAGTGTTGCACAGGGAAGTGATACAAAGTGTAAAGAGCAAACAGTCGGATCCAGTGACCTGAGGAGAGTGGAGTCGTACCTTTACCGCAGTTCCTGCTCTGACAGCACTGACTGACTGACTGACCACCGCACACTCCGGGGGGGAAATCGGCCTTTAATCTCCTGTTGTTGTTGTTGTTGTTGTTGTTGCACAAAATAAAAGGACATCGCCCTCCATTCCCACCTCCTGCTCAGTGACCGGGGGCTCGGCGCGAGGCTCGGGGGGATGTTTGACCGCCGGAGGCTGCCTTTCGTCTGTCTGGATGTCCTGTGCCTGGTCCTGGGTGAGTGCCGCTGACACGGGCTCTTGTGGGTTCGTTTGTACACTGCAGCGCTTTCCATTTCCTTCTGTCAAAGTTCACACACACACACGTGTGTGTGAGGGGGTCTGTGTGTGTGTGTGTCTGTGTGTCTGTGTGTGTGTGTGTGTGTGGGGAGGGGGGGCTGTGTGTGTGGGGGAGGGGGGGGCTGTGTGTGTGGGGGGGGGCTGTGTGTGTGGGGGGGGGGCTGTGTGTGTGGGGGGGGGGGCTGTGTCTGTGTGTGTGTGAGGGTGTGTGTGTGTGTGTCTGTGTGTGTGTGTGTGGGGGGGCTGTGTGTGTGTGAGGGTCTGTGTGTGAGGGTCTGTGTGTGGGTGTGTGTGTGGGGAGGGGGGCTGTGTGTGTATGAGGGTCTGTGTGTGGGTGTGTGTGTGGGGAGGGGGGGCTGTGTGTGTGTGTGTGAGGGTCTGTGTGTGTGTGGGGGGGCTGTGTCTGTGTGTGTGTGAGGGTCTGTGTGTGTGGGGGGGGGTGTGTCTGTGTGTGGGTCTGTGTGTGTGTGGGGGGGGCTGTGTCTGTGTGTGGGTCTGTGTGTGTGTGGGTCTGTGTGTGTGTGGGGGGAGGGGGGGCTGTATCTGTGTGTGTGAGGGTCTGTGTGTGTCTGTGTGTGTGTGGGGGGGGCTGTGTCTGTGTGTGTGTGGGGGGGGCTGTGTCTGTGTGTGTGTGTGTGGGACTGTGTGTGTGTGGGTCTGTGTGTGTGTGGGTCTGTGTGTGTGAGGGTCTATGTGTGTGTGGGTCTGTGTGTGTGTGTGGGGAGGGGAGGCTGTGTCTGTGTGTGTGTGTGAGGGGCTGTGTATGTGTGTCTGTGTGGGGGCTGTGTGTGTGTGTCTGTGTGTGTGGGTGTGTGTCTGTGTGTGTGGGTGTGTGTAGGGAGGGGCTGTGTGTGTGGGTGGTGGGTGGGGGGGTGTTGGATGGTGGGAAAAAGTTTATTTTTAATTGCATTTGTGATTGATCACCAGGGGTTCGATGGTTTTTACTGTATCCACTTGTGTTTCTGTTGTGTTTTGTTATTTTCGCTTCTTCAGTTCATCCCTTTTCTTCTCCTCCCCCCACCTCCCACCCTCATTCCCGACGGGAAAAACCGGGAAGCACAAAGCTAAGCCGAGCCATGCTTGGGAAAAGGCGATTGCAAAACAATTCAGAGCCAGAATCAGATCAGATCACCCTCCCAATAAAGGGAAAGGAGGGAGGGAGAGGGGAGAGGGAGGGATGGTACAAGAAGGTAAACAATAAACAGCATCAGCAGGTTTTAAATCCCAGTGACCTGATTTCTCACCGTCTTGTGTTAAAGACAAGATGAAATACAGGATAAAACTTGCCGCAGAAGGACAATATTTAAGAAGGATTCGGTCAATTGTGTCTTTGCTGTGACTTGCTCCCCCTCCTCCTCCCACAGGGACTGGGATTATCTGTTAATGTGACCCAGACAGTCAATCCCTGGCTCAGTGTCAGTCCCCAGATAGTCCACGATGTCAGCTGGTTTAGTTTCCCCACTCCCTAGTTTGTCAGCTTTTGGCACTGCTTCGATGTCTCACTAATAGGACAAACCCATGTCTTTAACACACAATAATATTTATATTTATATAAATAAAGACACCAACATGATTTGCAGATCTAATCTAAATCGGGATGAAATGAGATTCCAGCAACAAATTGACCCAAAACACATCGTCAGTCTGTATCCCCAGTGTAACTCAGTGGTAGTAATAAATAATAAAAATAAATGAATTTATAACTCAGTGGTAACCTGAATAGCAAGATCAGTGCCAAGTGAAGGATGGATCAAGTTATAAATGTTTCATGATTCAAATTCTTTAGGTTGAACGAGGCAGGTGTTAGAACTAGGCATCTGTGTGGGTGGGTGATAGGGGGTCTCCCTCGATACTAGAACCGTGCACATGAATCCCTGATTCCTAGTTTCCCCCTTTGCTTCAATTTACCCTCTTGGTTCTCATGAAGGCACGGACTCTGGTGAAATAGTGTTCCACAACAACAAACAGTGCCATAGTACCTTACCCAGGTGATCATTGTTCAAGAACAAACCAAGATAGTATTGGAGAAAAATTCCAATGAGTGCTTTGCACATTGCCTTTGGCGATGTCTGCATGGATGGTATTTGTGTTGTTGTCTCCAAAACGCGCACCGCATGTAATACTCAATGGCATTTTACCCCCCTAAGTGGTGACTTGCTATTCGGCCATGTGCATATCGCAGCTGAGGCTGAACCTTACCTCATCTAACATTGAAAGTGGTTACTTTCCAGCAGGGATCCCTGGATGGTGATCAGGAATAGGATGTTTAGCTGATTTTTTTCCCCACTATTCCGAGATGTGGTATAACTATTGTAACCTCAGTTAATGTCAGCCCAGACTGGAATCAAACCAGATACCTTCAGGGCATGTACTCTTCACATTATTATTATTATTTTCACTCTACCCTAATGCGGTTTTCCAACTGAGTTACAGAGAAGTGCTTAGATAGTTTTTTTTAAAAAAACATCCATAGAGTGAGAAGTTCATTTTAAAACAGTAACTAGCTCGTGGGTAGGACATATGCTGCATTACACACAGAGTAGTGCGGCTCAAGTCAAACCACTGAAACATTTTCAAGCACATTTTGCACGTCTTATTCAGTAGTCACTCAAGACCAGGTGATATACTCTCCACTCCTATAAAATAACTGATTATTTTAATATAAGCTATACATTTTAATCATAGGCTAATATGTTATTTTACTAACTGCACAACAGAAAAGAGACGGAATTCATAATGCGAGGGAGGTAGTGGTTTTCTACTCCCAACACCTTAATTCACGGAATAAAATATGATTGCAAAGGATAGTTTATCCATAAAGTTTTTTTAAAAAAAGTTTGTTGTCAAATTTCAATGTCAGATTAATTTTAAACTAATTTTTGACAACAAAACAAATTACTTCTTCAGTTTGCCTGGATTGGTATATACAGGATCTGAGATTTAGGAATCTGAAAATTTCCACCAACTCATTAATTTTAAACCTGGCAAAGTACTACGTGTTCTGGAAAGATAGTGTTGCAGTTTCATGTATTTTTGGGACAAACTGAGTCTTTGTAACCAAGAAACTTAAATTATCAGCCCATAGATAGCAGCTCTGTGAATTACTGCCCCTTCTTTTTTTGCAATATGTTGTGAATTGAATATGAAGCAATTATGATACCGTATTATCCCTGTGCCTTAGAGAATCATATTTTGTCCTCTGGGTTTGTTAGTTTTGCCTAAGAAAATTTGTTAAAAGAACAAAATGTTTATACATTATGTATGAACGAATCTATTCAAAACCAAACTAGCCGGAAGGAGCGATAGATAGAGATTACTTGAAATACAGGTATTGAAGGACGCAGAGAAAAGAAGGAAAATGGGATTAAAAAATCTGCCATGATCTAATGCAATAGTAGAACAAACTTGAGTGGCAGGATAGCCAAACATTTCTGTGTTCCTGCCCCCATATCCATCTCAGCTCGGACTTTCGAAAGCATTTTCAGTTGTTCCCATTTATTTGAAAGATCCTACGTGAATGCAAATTGCTTGTTTGGTTGGTTATCTTGATCCACTTGTTGCATGGAACCAGCGGTACGTGGCACTACAGGAAAGCAGTGTGCTTTTAAACAGTGACAAGAGATGATCAACTAGGCGTCCAGTAGATGTTGACTGGCATTTAGAGACTTTAAGTAGCTGCTTACATTGGTGAAGGTTTCATACCAGCTCATTAGCTCACCCTCTTGGCCAACACTTAGATTTTGTAAGAGGTAATGGAGAAGCAGAAGCTGACCAAATAGTTGTGGTTAAAGAAGGGAAGAAAACGTTAATAGCGAACATTCACTCCCAATCCTAGAGCAGTCTTATATGATTATAAAGCTAGAACAAGTGTGATTGTATTCTTCTGTTGCATGTATAGGAAATATGAGATATTATTCGTAATAATAATCCTTGGATTTGATATAATGTCTGTAACAAAGTGTCTTAAAGAGCTTCACAGGAAATAGCAGTGATTGTATTCATCACTGATTGTATATGGCAACCAATTTGCACGCAGGAATGTCCCACAAACAGCCGTGAAATGAATGACTCATTTACTTATAATAATAATAATAATAATCCTTGCATTTGATATAGCGCTTTTCACGTCGGGAGGACGTCCCAAAGCGCTTCACAGAAGACACTGTAAAGTGAATTGACTGTATATTTGTGGGCGAACGCGGCAGCCAATTGCGCACAGCAGTGTCCCACAAACAGTCGTAGATTGAAAATGACCAATTTAATTATTGTTTGGGGTTTTTTGGAGGGATTATTATTAGGCGTGTGGAGTAAGGAAACTTGCCCAAGGTTTCGCCCTGCCTGGAATTGAACTCAGGTCTCTCACTTGCAAAGCGAGTGCTCTAACCACTGAGCTACAGGACTCCTCCTGAGCTACAGGACTCCTCTTGGAGGCTTAGTGGTGGTGGGGAGGAGAGAGAATTGGGCCTTACCCAACCTATTTAGTCTCCCGAAGTCAAGTTTCCCAAAGACAACTGCAGGATACTTGACCAAACGCTGCGTTATAGATTCTTGATTAGTCTCCTTTCCTTGCCATGATGCGTCCATGGTTCCAGCATCAGCTTGAGGGCAATTGCAATCGAATTACAATAATAATCCTTGCATTTGATATAGCGCCTTTCACGTCGGGAGGATGACCCGAAAGATAAAGTGCAGTGACTGTGTGCGTTTCCTTGTGTGGATGAACACCTATGAATTACAGAGTTGTACCAAATGGCATCCATGTGGTTCATCCGCCGCCCATCTCTGTCGTTGTTCTTTCTGAGCCTCAATCCCGTTCCCAAACTGGACGCTCTTACAATTTTTTTTGTGAAGGTGTTGATTGACACCCAAAGTGGGTACATTTTTTTCATAGACCGACACAAATCTTAAGGGAAATGTGCTGAATCTTGCCATGAAATT